GTAGGGCTTCTCGCCCGTGTGCACGCGCTGGTGCCGGAGGAGGTTGAAGCTCTGGCTGAAGGCCTTGCCGCACTCGGCGCACGCATAGGGCCTCTCCCCGCTGTGCGCCCGCTGGTGTCGGACCACGTGCGAGCTGTGGATGAAGGCCTTCCCGCAGTCGCTGCACTCGTACGGCTTCTCCCCGGAGTGGATGCTCCGGTGCTTCGCGGCGTCCGAGGAGCACTTGAAGCTGCGGCCACAGGCGCTGCACGGGAAAGGCCGCCCCTTGCAGCCGCCCCTGCCCTCTGCTCCTGGGCCTAAGTTCGGAGGGACGTCTGACTCGCGGCCACTCTGTCCTCCAGTTTTCTCAGAAATGACCGGACCTCGAGGGGAACCTCTGGGCCTCTGTCTGGCTTCCTCGTTTTCACAAAGGCCAAGAGACCCCAGCGCCCGGGGAGGCCCCCCTCTGTGGCCCTCTCCCTCGGGAGCGCCTGGCTCTGGTGCAGGCTCCGTACTCCGAGCTGCCTGCGCCTCAGCTGATCGGCTGCCACTTGGGGCCTGCGCCAGGAAAGCAGCCTTCACAACTGAAAAAGAGTTCGGACAGTAACGATTTTAGATGCAAGAGAATGTGAGTCGAGGGTGGCTCTGGCAATCGTGGTGACGACAGGACAATGACGGTGATGGTGACATCAGTGTTCCAAAGACACCTTTGATTTTGCCCGCCTAGTTTTTTCTCCTCCCCACCTTCTTAACCCCTGTGGTTATGAGGTGGATGAGGGTCCTGCACGGCCACTCTAGAAACCGGGCTGTGGGGCTGGGCGTGGTGGCTCACACCTGTAATCCCCGCACTTTGGGAGGCTGAGGCAGGAGGACCACTTGAGACTTGGAATTTGAGACCAGCCTGGCCAACACAGTGAGATCCTGTCTCTTAAAAAAATACAGAATTTTAAAAATATACAAACAGAAGCCCGGGCGCGGTGGCTCACGCCTGTAATCCCAGCACTTTGGGAGGCCGAGGCGGGCAGATCACAAGGTCAGGAGATCGAGACCATCCTGGCTAACA